CGCATGCATCGTACCGCGATACGTAACGTATCTTGAGCATCGTACCGCGATACGTGTCGTATCGTATCGTAAGCATGTCACCGCGATACCTATCGTATCGTCAGTAACACGTATATCAACTTGTTCCTATTTGTGTAATATTGTATTAATTTTAGTGGGAACATACTGTAAACATATTTTGAGGAGTGAATTGGACATTTCTTCTCACTTCCTGAATTGTCAGTGAACACTCAGAAACACGAGACATCGTCATCTCCTGTTGTCTGCATGCTTGGTTTCGATTGATCAAAATCTAAAGTTTGTACATCTTAACAAGTAATTGACACATTTTTTTTTGCAAAAAGAAAAATTATGAGTAATATCTAAAACAATTTAACTATTTTAGTTTAGTTGTGTTCGTATAACTATTTATAATCTTTAAATATTAATATTACATATTTTTTTTAATATACATCAGATGAAGAGTTGAATCCGTCGTTAAGCTAACCAGACTTTGCAGTTACTTATGTCAACTTCATACATATCAGGCTACAAACGACACATATTTCAAACAGTAGAAATACTATAACGAGTGTACGCTTTACATGTTTGTCATGAAGTGCATTATGACAATTTAAGTAAATATCGATATAAAGACTCCTTTATGTAACGAATAGTAAAATCTCAATGTAATGCCTCTCGTCCATAAACAGTGAAACTTCGATGCAATGCGCTAATTTTTATATAGTAAAACCTTGATATAATGTCGCTCATTTATGTACAGTAAATCCTCGATATAATGTCCCTTGTTTATATACAGTAAAACCTTGAGATAATGCCGCTTGTTTATATACAGTCAAACCTGGATATAATGCCGCTCATATATATATAGTAAAACATTGATATAATGTCGCTCATTTATATATAGTAAAACATTGATATAATGTCGCTCATTTATTTATAGTAAAACATTGGTATAATGTCCCTCATTTATATATAGTAAAACATTGATATAATGCCCCTTGTTTATATAAAGTAAAACATTGATATAATGTCGCTCATTTTTATATAGTAAAACATTGATATGATGCCCCTTGTTTATATATAGTAAACCATTGATATAATGTCGCTCATTTTTATATAGTAAAACATTGATATAATGCCCCTTGTTTATATATAGTAAAACATTGATATAATGCCCCTTGTTTATATATAGTAAAACATTGATATAATGTCGCTCATTTTTATATAGTAAAACATTGATATGATGCCCCTTGTTTATATATAGTAAAACATTGATATGAGGCCCCTTGTTTATATACAGTAAAACCTTGATATGATGCTTGTTTTCAATATACAAAAAATCTTCGATATAATGCATACCCTTTGCTCATAAATGGTAAAACCTTCATAAAATATCCCTTACTTCATTTCCCAATTTTGCTACTATTTATACACATGTATGTGTAATTTACCAAATTACAACGCCAAACTCTTTATAATTATAATTGTGCTGGTCAAATGGTTGCAGTTGAATGCCGTTTACTTGTACAGAGAAGAAGAAAACTAAGTATCCAGGGCGTTTCTTTGTTGAAAAGATGACATGTCTAATAAGTTCCGTTAACACACAATGTACTGTGTCAACGACATACTTGTAATAGTTGCGGTTTCCTGACAATTTTGGCGCCAATAATTAAGTTCAGTTTTACTTAGTATGACCCAAATTGTTAAATATATTTTGATACTAATATGACGAGACATCAGCCCGTTACATTTGGAACAGTTCTTTGGAAGGGTACAGTTATCCCTGCATCACACGAACCGGCGATGTCACTGTTCTGCCAATTTGTGTTTTCGTGGTGTTATTACGAACGATGCACCTCAAAACCTATTTCACAGTAGGCTGATTATTTAGCAATTGGGTCATGCCATTTGGTTCACTTCAATTCAGAAATAATAGGGAATCGCTCTTATTAAAATGAAGCTAACAATACATTACGATTTATCCTATATTTGTACTTAAGGAAGCAATATTTGTGGTTTAGAAAAAGTTTTGTGGTTTACCAAATCAGGCGGAATGCATTGTAATGCTGATTACTGACCAGAAACAGAACCACAATAGTTATGGTTATTAAACTCATTCACCCCTGAACACACATTTGGACTCTTCCAATTCAAAAGTTGGAAAAATTCATTATGAAATTTCAGGGGTGAATGAGTTATTAATGACAATACACAACTGTATAAGTATTAATGTAACTTGTGCGACCTGGGTTGACACTAAATGCACAAAATAACTTACTCTGTGACCTTTTCGACACTTGACATATATATATATAGCTTGCCCTAGTGCAACAATCGCACTAAATTCTTACGAGCTACTTTAAGTGACAGCCTCTGCACACTTTATGAAACTACCCAATTACATTTAATGTTGTCATGCTTTATGGCAATAATGAAAAAAAGGCTACTGAAGTCATTGCACCTGATTTAGTTTTGTTTTACTGTAAGCGTACTTCTTTTAGCGCATTATCACATTGTAACAGATTGGCGCATTGAAGAATAGGCGCATCCGCAAAAATGCTGCAGTAAACAATATACCAGAACTTCAATAGGCGCAATCATAATTAAGCGAAATATTTCAAAGGCGAAAGGCGCTAAATAAGTCTACCTCTAAAATTTGTAGAGTTTACAGAATATCTTATACTAGTATATAAACATGCATATGTATATTGTTTAAATATTACATAAATGTATTTCATATCTTCGTTCGATATGACTCATGTGTGGATACAGATTAAAACGCAAGCTTTACTGTATATGCAAATGTATCTTTCTCCGCTAAAATAGATCGATATTTTGTTTCAACAGCCACACTGCCGCTGTCATTGAAGTGTAACAAAATTGCGTTTATTGTTTTCGTCATATTGACCACGAGATCAAACTACAGCCTGAAAACATCCATTTATACTTGAAAAATGTGTTAGCCAATCACAATGAAACTAACCGAAGGAATTTACGAAGTGTTTCAGGAAACTCTTGGCAAGTATCTGGCGGTTTCTTGGTGCATCGTTGTGAGCTACTTATGACACTTGTGAATTAGCTATTGTCGCACCAATGAATAGAATTACAAAGAGTGTACACAACTTATCATCAGTCAGGGTCAAATTGTTCAAGGTCACATTATCACTTCATAACATTGCAAGAAATAAAATCAGAATTCCCACAATAATCCCAAAAGTACGTTAAGACAAAAAGAGTATCATATAGATATAAATGATAATATGGGTGGATGAATCTGCACCTACACCGAGTCAAGTGGTATTGTACCTCATAGCAACGTACTCGGAAGATCTCGGGATACCATATGATAGAATAGCATTTACTGTATTACAATAACATTATAAACGTACAACTAAATACATAGACAAGAGCTGTCGGAGAACAGCATAGCTCGCCTATGTATGTTATTATAATACTGCAACTATCAATAGAAACACATGTAAAGTAAAACGTTGATATATTGCCTGTCATTTCATTTGCCACCTCACTTACCACCAGGATATTTCAAGGACTGTTAAATGTGTAGAAACATCTATGTTAAGTGATTGTTAAGAAATTAACAAAGTTCAATTAAGATTTTTCTGGACGCTTAAATATGAAAATGTGGTTCAACACATTGCTTACACTCAATACAAGTACTTCAATCTTATAATAGACAACAGCCTATTGATGGTGGTGGTCCAACACTACCCAACAAAACTTGCGCAAAAACTTTAACCTCAAATTTAACTAAGTCAAATGAAGTTGTTTTTGGGCCATAAAATATGAAAATATGGTCCAGAACATTGCTTTCACTCGATATAAATGACTTAAACTCATATTAGACAACTGTGTCTTGAGTGTGATGATCAAACACTGTCTGGCAAAAACTTGCACCAAAACTTTAACCTCGGAAGGTGGGACGCCGACGCCGACGCCGGGGTGACTACATTAGCCCTTCGAATAGGCGAGCTAAAAATGATATAAGTACAATAATAAGCATAATCTATTTTATCAGTAAAATAGAAATTTAGAAAAAAGCAATAAAAAAAATATATATATAAATAAAACAAACTCAAGACAACAACTAAAGCCGTTTAAAAAGTATTGAAATGAGTTGGAAGATGTTTCTTTTTATGAACAATATGTGCTCCTGAGAACATTCATTTTAGGATATTAGATATAAATCGATCAATTTAACTGGTCTGTCTAGCAAGGGTGGGGATCAAAGTCCAACTGGATAAAAAGGTCAAGAAGTTTGTTGGCATATCATCAAAAAAGGAGACCAAGAGAAAAATGTAATGTATATAACACATGGAAAATACAGGCTACAAAACGACATTGTGAAGGAAATATCTAAGGCCAAAAAGGAGCAAAAATGTCTGTTTCAGGTACCTCGACCGACACTAGTGTTTGCCTTCAACACTTTTATCGCAGTGTTGGGATAACTTGTCTACCGGATGCAAATAAATTGGACAAACATATATACCTCTCTGCTTGATAGCAGGTATCCAAACCAAATTTAAAATCTATATTATTAAAAAATGTGTTGGGTAATATTTGTAAAAAAAAAAAAAAAAAAAGCGATCTTCCCTATTTGTTTTATAGTCTATACTATGCTTTGGCCTAACCACTCTTTAGACAAAATGTATGAAAATATAAAGAATCTTTATTTCTCGAATTGTGTGATTATTCATGATAAAACTGATTTAAAAAATAATCTAACACATTAAAAAGAAACTCAATGTGGAAGAAGTAACTACTCTTTAGACAAAATGTACGAATTTAAAAAAAAAAGGAAAATGAATGTTAAAATATCAATACTAAATTTAGTTATTTCTCGATGTGAAATGGTGTGATAATTTTTAATGTGCATGTACAATGCCAAAATGAAAACTTGCTGATAAAACTTATTAAAAGAATAAAAAGATTCTTGATGGGAAGAAAAATGCCGGTACGTTAACAAATGCAGTACTCACTTACTTTAGCTGATATCGCTCGTTAACTCGCTGAAGTAGGCTGGTTGTCACTCGTACCTCTAACATACATGTTATAAAGTACTCCGTACGACTCCCCCTCGTATATATATGCTTATCCACTTCACATATAATGATGTCATTATGAACAATAGCTGCCAAAAGGATGTAAAAGTCATGTGAAAACTGTGAAAGAGTATTTTTAGATTAGGAGTTTAAACTGTTTAATTAAAATGAATCATGTATAATTCAGGGAAATTATATCTCGGGAAAGCTCCAACCTAATACAACATATCACACAAAAACTTCCTTTTCACGGTTTTAATTTGGTTGATTGTAATCAGAGGTCAATATATGTGTTTACGTTGCCAATAGTTTCTGGGAACACCCTTCCACTAGGCGTGCACCTAGTTGATCTGAATAACAAAACTCAATAAATTGTTAGAGACGCATTAAACGTTGATAAGTTGTTCAAATCTGTCCGTGTTCAACATATTTTTTTTATTATATTTTACGTTAAAGATGCATACTCTTCAAAGTTATGTGAATAACTTGTCTTCAATATTTCCTGTCTTACTCGCTTAGCGAATATTTCACTATATAAACACGTAAACAATATTTACATCACGTTAGAAATACATAAACATTGATTTTCATCGAGTGTCTTTCGTTAGGTGTTTTTTTTCTGTCCGACAGGTTTAACTAGATAGGCCTCGTTTAAGCAGGGTAAACATATGGTAATCGGTTTGATTTTGGTTTGTTTGTTTGTTTTACGTCTTACTAACAGCTATGGTCATTTAAGGACGTGTCAGGTTTCGATGGTAGATGAAAGCCGTAGTTCCCGGAGAAAAAAACACCGACCTACCGCCAGTACCTAGCGACTGCCCCATGTAGGCCTCGAACCCACGATCCAGTGGTGGAGGGCTAGTCGTAGCAGAATGTCAGACGCCTTACCCACCGCGGCCCCTTAATAGGCCAAAACGACGAACATAAAAAATTGAAGTAGCTTGCAATTAGACAAGATCTGACAAGATCTACTGACGAACATCCTGTCATACTGGTTTGAGGAAACAACCAGTCGCGTTCGCTGTGTATGGTATTGGATAACATAGTGCGTTTATATCCGTACGTCACATTAATGGTGATATGACATAGGTCATTCACGTCACCTCATTTTCATTGATGAATTTTATGTAAACTTTGTTTGACATTTATTTGATCCCTAGCAACACTGCAACACCGTTGAGTCCTAGAAGCAATGGCGGATTCAGAGTTTTTTGGGGGGCTTCAGGAAACCCCCCCTACCTGATAATTTTCTTAAAAGATCATGTATTTTCAACAGTTTCCTCAATTTCCGCCACTTGGAACCCCCCCTGGAAATTTGGAACCCCCACCAGTAAGGTCTCAGGATCCGCCACTGTAGGACGAAACGGCTGTATGGTGCAGTTTATTTCCTTTTTGGCAGTTTAAGTACAAAGTATAAGTTTGTGTGTTACGTTAATAGTTTACAAGAAAACTTGACATCCTTTTAGAGAATTGTCCAATATTTATTCTATTTTCCGAGCCTCTGTTATTGTGAACTTACTTTTCATCTCAGAACTCAGTTATACTTTATCATTCCGATAGACAGTGGAAAATGGTTTTTTTGCCAATTATCACGTCATGGTTCTATGACACAGATATTTATATCAATTAATATCAATAATAACAAGAGGCCCATGGGCCTTAACGGTCACCTGAGTCTACAGTATTTATTTTTGTTGTTGAAATATGTACCAATTTGAGTAAAAAATAGTATAATGTTAACTTAATTTTGTCAGGACTATGAGCTGATCATTCCTAGACCAATTTTAAGTGAGATCGGCCCATTAGAACTTAGTAGCAAAATAGCGGCTATGGCAGCCAAATTGTATTTCTGATTGACCCGAAAAATAACAAAACTTTGTCAGGACCATGATTCGATCATTCCTACAAAGTTTCAGTTCAATCGGCCAAGTAGAACTTTACTTTAAGTTTGAAATAGGTTTTCAAAATGGCGGCCGTGGCGGCCATATTGGATTTCTGAACGACGCAAAAAATAACAACACTTTGTCAGGACCATGAGTCGATCATTCCTACAAAATTTAAGTTCAATCGGTCCAGCAGAACTTGGCTTTAAGCTTGAAATAGGTTTTCAAAATGGCGGCCGTGGCGGCCATATTGAATGCTAAAGCTCAGGTGACCTAAAAACGCTATATAGTTCTTTAGCTATGGGTAACATTTCGTAATTTTTGACAAAAAGTACGAAATCGGGAAAATTAATATCCGAAAAGTAAATTAACATTGAGATTGGGAATGGCGTTACGACATGTCAGTGCAGTTACTGCCGTCATAAAAATGTAAAATTGTTTAATAATAGTAATGAGTTCATAAATTGTAAATAGAACGCTTCATGATACAGGGTGGTTATCTGAACTTTGTTTATGAATAGTCATATTGTACTTTTTATACATATCTTCGATATACATGTATCATCATTTTATCATCCTTTTTGCAAAGAATACTGAACCACGTCGCACTACAGTATCCGGTTCAGAATTACGGTTTCTTTGGCGAGTGGTTAGGAAGGTTTATTTTATAGTTTGGATTTCCGCATATCTCTAGCAGATGGAATGGAATCGAAATGATAATAGATACAAAAAACGACCTTATATGATACGTATGTAACAAAAAAAACCCAGATTAATATATATCATGAGATAAGTACAGCAAAACACAAAACATTTCAAAAATGAGTTTTTTTACCGTAACAAAATCTTCCTCATTGGGTTCTAAGTTAATTTACGATTTTTTACACAAATTTTCGTGACTGTTTGATGTATTTGAATCCATATTATAATAGATAAAAAAAGAGTATGTACAACATAAGAAAAAAATAAATAAAAAAAATTAAAAAAAATTACAAGATTGATATATATCATGATATTTATTACAACAAAAAACAAAACAGCATTTCAAATGAGATTCTTTACCGTAACAAACTCTGCAGCAAACATATCTATTCGGTGGGTAATAGAGACAAGAATGTATTTTCTGAAATGCGTGAAACAGTAATATATAGATACCTTTATAATACGACAAACATCTCCTCAATTTGACATTCATAATCCTACAAATTGTATTTACCCTTAATAAAATGGCAAAGAAAAGTGTTAAAACGGTACATAACAAGGCATACATTGTTAAATGTAGGAGTGAATATTGCGTTGAATCAAACAACTTACAAAACAATTATTATGATTTTAACAAAGGCTTACAATTCAATAATAAGTGACAAAAATTACAAAAACGGTAATTAAATAAAAACAACGATTTGGACACCTCGTTCTTCAACCAAGCATGTTAGTGAGTCCAATTAAGTGAAACGGGGAAATATGCTGAAGTCAAAGTAAGTATGAGATTCAGAGAAAAATGTACTTAGAGTCCAAATTGTTATTCCTGGTGTATGAAACAGAGAAACATATCATGGAATCCACTAAGTGATGCACCGTGTTTGATACAGAAAGAAATATAATGTATCAATGTAGTGATTCCTTGTTTAATACACAGAAAAATAAACTTGAGTCTGGAGTGTAAGTACGGATTATTTGTGCATCTCATTCAGGGACAATGGTGGAGTCCAAAGTCCAGGTTATACATGTATGCGTGTGAAACAGGAACACATTACTGACGTAAACACATGCAACTGGTACTTCAAGCTAGATAGGCTCTCTTTAGGTAAATAAACGCGAGACACAATAGGTCTGTACCACTCACCAAATATTAAATGCTGTTGGCAAACATGTATCACATATGAAACCTTTGAAGTACATCAAGGTCAAATTAACGTAAACAAACATGATAGCAAGCAACGTCATACTACAGGTCTAATATCATTGATAGACACTCTATTGAACTTCGTTGGAAGGAACTATCCTCTTTCACTCCTGACCTTGAAAAACTTAATCAGGCTGCAGGACAAATATTACTAAACTATCTCTCAGTTACGTTTAGAATGACTTGTGACACAGTCCTTTACAATACTTGAACAAGCACGCGACGGGGAACATTTCAGCGTGGAAATATGTTAACACGTTTGACTATTGTGAGCAGGAAGGAATTCGTGTAACTCCATGTCAACCCATTTGGTAGACCTTATTTGAAGATAGCTTGATACAAAATAACATCACACAAGCCCGCTTTGTTATTCAGATGACTTTTGAAAACTTGAACACAGTTTAACCCAAGGAATTTAGAAATGTGTTCATTAGAACAAACTAGATAATCGTTCACCCCAGGATTCTATTGTCCATCCTCGATATCCAGGAGTAACGCTCACTTTCGCTATTTGCACCCCTGGAATATTGTATAGCAAAATTGAAGGCACTGATTGGTCTCAGGCAAAAAAAAAAACTAGCCAATCGCTAGGCTGATACCTGTCTTTTGAAGATTACAAAGGAGAGACGCCCGACTTCAAAGCCTGTTATTTTTTTACCTTTACGGGACCGCGAGGAGATTCTTTTGATGTTCATCAAAGACCCGACCTAGTCTTCTTGTCTCATCAACAAAGTGGCGCATACCGAGCATTCCATTTTGCTATGATATAGTACAGTGGTGTAGAGAGCGAACGTGAGCGTAACCCCTGGATATCGAGGATGGCTATTGTTCAGATATCACCAAACTTGACCCTTTGGTTATTCAGATTTCGTTTACATATTTTAACAAATTTGACCACCGAGATGTAAGTGAGTAAATTTAAAGGTCATTCATCTACAATAAAAATCAATAGCTCTAACTTCGCAAAAGCATTTTTTCTGGACAAACACCATTACCTACATGATGTAAGTCAACCTCCTGATATCTAGGGGTTACGTTCACTTTCGCTCTCTGTACCCCTAGAATATGTTATAGCAAAATTGAAGGCTCAGTGTGCAGCACCTTGTGGACGAGACAAGAAGACTAGTTTGGTCCTTTGATTGACATAAACAAATCTCGCAGTCGCGTAAGGTACAAGTTTATGGCTTAGAAGTAGGCGTCGCTCCTCTGTAAGAACAAGCATCAGCCTAGTGAATGATCAGGATTGTTTTATTCGACACCAATCAATTAGCTATCCGAGTGCCTTCAATTTTGCTATGACATATTCCAGGGTGTAGAGAGCAAAAGTGAGTGTATCGAGGATGTTATCGAGGATGCTATGGAGGATTTTTCAGAAGAATGTGTTTGAAAAGAATTTTACACATTTGACTTTAAAGTAGGTTAAAGTCTTAATTTGAACAAACTGGAAAGGCATTCGTCCAGCATGCTACTGGAAGCTATCATTACCTTTGGCTTCTTAGTTATTCAAAAGCATTCATATAAATAACGAAGGGTAATGGAGGAAAGAATACCATGAGCTCTGGGACACAATGTGTCTGGTGAGCTACAAATTGTAACAACTACAGCTATATGGACGGTTCGATTCCTCAAACATCCTTGTTGATTGACACAATTGAAACAGCAACAGCATATTGAAGTTTAAACAAAACCGTAAATTCACCAAAAGTTGGTAAAACTAAGGCAAAAAAAGAAGAAGAATATATATGCACAGAGACCCTTGAAAACGATAATAGGACCAAGTGTCCTTGTCAACTATCAAAAAAATATTATTTCTTAATCATATTCTTCTGAATACTGTGTATATGAATAATTGTAAACCAATTACAATAAGCCTTGCAATCTGATGGTTGCTTAAAGAAAAAGACGACGATTGACAGACAACAGATGTTGTACAAGCGTAAAATATCAAAGGAATTTTGTACTATTTGCTGAGCTAAAATGAAAGTCATTGAACATTGACATCTTTTAATATCATACATTGTCATGACATACATACATATATCAATAAAGAAAGTATAACATACATACATTACTAAATAAAGTAGTATATATATACATACATTTAAAAAGTTCACATATATATTGCTTTTGTGGTGTGACCACCTTAATGAAATTTAAAAAACTATTATAATCTGTGACATTGTGCATAGAATAAAACAGGTTTAAAAAATAGGGATCAGTAAAAAAAAATGATTGTTTAACAAACTACAATTGTTTTCTTTTTAAACTTGTAATGAAATAGAAAAAAACATAAATCATATACTAACACAGGCAAAAGATTGTACAGGAAAAAATCTCAAATAAAATACCAATCCATAACCATAAACAATTGCTATCAAGTCCTGCATGGAAAGCCTGGTATGTTGTCATATACATTGTTTACACTTTCCATATGTAACATGTATACTGGAGATTAAAATATCAATTATCATTTTGTCATAGTGAAAGCTTGTTCTAGATATTTAACTATCTGTAGTCATATTCTTTCCATTTTCAAGAAATTAGTTCAAAGATGTAAGCAACCAAATACAGTGACTAAAATCTCAATTTTTAAAGAGTTATATGGTAAAAAAATAATAATATATACACAGATCTACATACGTACTAACAACACTCAAGTAATTCTGACTTAACTTTCTTTCATGGAAGATAACTCTAACAAAAAACAAGAGATCCCAGGCCTAGTGGAATCTACATAACAAATTTGAGAAAGATACCTCAAATACTTCCTGAGAAATAGTGATAACAAATCTTTAATGTCAAACTTCAAGATGGCTCAAGTACTTCCTGAGTAATATAGCACTAGCAAACCTTAACTGTCAAAATCAAAGATGGCCACTTGTTGGCCATTTTGTTTATCAGATCAAAAGTAAACATGCACAACAGACCAAGGAGAACCTACATAACCAACCTGAGAAAGATCCCTCAAGTACTTTCTAAGAAATACAATAACAAGAATTGTTTAAGGGGGGACGACGGACAAAGGGCGATTTGAATAGCCCACCATCAGGTCAGATGATAGTGGGCAAAAAAACAACAAGTAAAATTTGCAAGGTAGCAAATATACCTATACCCTTAACTTTAACATAAATCACAGCTATATATGTGTAAGGTTGTATATAACCTTAACTCTAACACAAATCACGGTTGTAATGTGTAAGGTTGCATATAACCTTAACTCTAACACAAATCACAGCTATAATGTGTAAGGTAGCATATGACCTTAACTTTAACACAAAATAACGGGGATAATGATGTCTACTGTACATGTAGCATAAAACCTTAACTCTAGCACAAGTCAAAAATAAAATATGCAAGACAGAATGAATCTGTAACTTAAGGTAAAACAGCACTTAAAATGTACCTTGTGTTAACAACTCTCAAACCACAAAACCAAATACATTGACATTTGGGATGATATGGTGCAGTAGTCTATCTTATCAAAAACATCCTATAAGACTAGATATGATAAGTTAGGCTAATTAAGTTACAAATTTATAATGTACTCGTGGTTTTGTTTATGTATGGCTTGAACAGGGAGTTGGTGATACATGTATTAACAGTTTTCTAGCATTGTTTCAAACAAGAGTTCGAGGTATTTCTTTACGAGATTGGCACAGTGCACTTTTCGAATTATCCAGAGTCCAATGTTATGAACTTTCCTTTCACATGAATTCGGTAACAAGCAGTATCTTGGTATGGTTTATATTAAAAAAAAAATCAAAAATGTTTAACTTGGCTACGGGTATCTTCACGTAGACTTAATGTAGAGGTGAGAAGATGGTATAGGCCTAATCCCATACCTCCAGAAATGCGGTTCTGTATTACATGTGCTCAAGGATAAATATGATTTTGTTATTGAATGTCCATTATACTCTGAAATCACGTCAAAATTGTAATGTAGGAAATACTTCACCCAACAAAATATGTGAAACATTTAAGAACTTCACCGAAAACAAAACTTCAATTAAAAACTTACTTCCATTTTTTTTTTTTGTATGTATATTTATTAAGCAAATGAAATTAGAAATGAAGTATTGTAGGATTAAAATTACATTAAAATATGTCAGTGTATCCTTTGCTCATAATGATGCAAGACTTCGCTAAATGTTATTGTTACCATGTGAAAATAATATGCACAGAGTGTTTTAACCCTTTCACCCCTATGTAACTTGAGTAGACTCTACCATGCACTGATTTGGATGAGTCCATTATGGTCTACAGTGGTGAAAGGCTTCCGGTTGTAACTTGTCAGTACTTAAATTTTCTACCACTACCATATATTACATATATTGTGAATGTAAGTAGCACAAAGACAAACAATCAGGTATAGTGAAGATAAAGATTATTATTATATAATTTTATTGGTATGTGAAATGTAGGGATATCATTCTAAAAACTCCTCAAAAACACTGGACAAGGTTCTCAGAGAGTGATAAGATTTCCCTCAGGAATGTTTGAACCACATCCGTGCTGGACGTGCTGGGTTTACAATTATTTCCACACATATCATACAGATAATGGTTACATGTTTTATTCACAATTAATTTCTCCTACCTAGAGCAGGGCCGTTGTCGTTTAAACGGTTGAACTGGTCGGACCACAGTTGTTCGTTAATTAAATAATGTCGGACCTAGTGATCCTATCGTGCCTTCAGACAAGCCTTGACAAAGCCTTGCAAGGCCTGCATATACATATGCAGGTCCGCCAGGATTTATAACCAAAATTGTTACAGTTAAAAACGGACAAACAGGTCGTTTCGCATAAATGAACAGGCCCCAGGTGACAAAGAAATCCAGAACCTGAGAGGTGATTATTTTTTCATTATCCAGCCCGGTCTGATGAGGGTTAGACAACTAGACTGACGACACCCCAAGGGCTGCAGATTTCAGACACTGTTACACCCTCAAGGAAGGGGATGATTATTTTGGAAGATTGTTTTAGTCACAACTCTGCCAACAGTAATCTGGCATCATTGTAAACAAAACATGTGGCATATGAATATCGTCATTCACTTTTCATGACGTCACACTTAAGCGGTGACAAGCCGATCTTTCCCAGCAAAAACACAAGACACACCTGTGATGGATTGCAGAAGAGAAATCAATGTCTCTATTTCTGTAAGTTCATCGGATCGGATTTAACATTATCAGGTTTTATCCTCCTGTAATATCGATCAACTAATCGTACTAAATCACACATTTGTGCTGACTCCAGCACACAGACAGGAGAATGATTGTTAAATCGCAGGGTTGTGTGCAATCGTGTGTGGACGATGTGCACATTGTATTTTCGGTTCAATAAGGGTCACACAAATGTACATGAATATCTTAGATAATAAATATTTTCCCAGACATACAAACTACATCTTATGGTAATTCAAAGATGATTGAATATCTACTAAAATATACCCTCAACTCTTTGAAGTACAACCGTTTCGTTTTTGGTACAGCTGTAACATTTGTGCCACATCTTCGTGTCCGAAACGCTTGGCCTCATCCAAAGCTGTAAATCCCCATCTGTAAAAGTGAAACACAACATGTAAGAGCAACAACTCTTGAACTCATCTACCCCTTAACTTTTATAATGAACTATTCCAACCTTTGAGTTGGAAGAGTTCAAATGTATCTACAGCGGTGGATAAGTTAAAGAATGAAATCAAGTGTGACCTTAAGCTTTGACACTGAAAATTTGACAGATGTGATATCAGATGTAGGACTTCATATATGCAGAGAATGATGTAAATAGAAACTTACCTAGTGAAAAAATTTGCTAGATATCTCACACAATTTTTGTTTTACTACAGAAGAGGCAAAGTTTAATTTTAGACCTTTTAACCTTGACTGATGACTACCAAATCTGATCAGATTTGATATTTGATGTTACTGTACTTGATGTAAATATAAACTTAATCTCTTGTGGGTGCATGAGTTATCTTGTAAACAAGCTTTATACTTAAGACACACAGACAGATGACGGCAGATGGACAGACAGACCAAATATCTGGCAATTATGTATACATTGACAGTTAAACAACAAGCCATTTAGATTGATATGTCTCACCTATGCCCCACTTTGACCATCAACTCACATATCAGGGAAACTGACTTAAATGCAAAAACTTAATGACTAATGCTGATGAAGATGCTGACAAGGTCAATGGAGCATGAAAGGTAGGTAGCCTCCAGTATTTGATGCAAGGGTTTAGATGTTCTACCTAAGATGCATGAATGGTCTAAGTTTGGTTGGTCTAGCACTTATACTTTCAGGGAAACAAACTTAAACAGAAATATTTAATGTTGATGCCACCATTGCCGGAAAAGCAACACCTATAAGTCTCGCTTCCACTTCATGGCGGCAAGTGAAAAATACCTGTTATTGCCAAAAAATAAATTCATGATGGCATAAGAAAGTTGGCTTCCATGAAATTATGTAACCACAAAAATTGAATGGTTTACATTATAACAATTAAAATTGATAATTTCTCACTTCTCGTATATAACGTAGTTATAGCTTTTACTGGACACAAAAGTGTGTCGTAAGAAATATTCTTCCTTTCTACACACACCAAAATCCCATATTTATTATTTGAAACACCGAAAACTGGTTGGTGAGTTTTGTAATTTCTTAAATAAGGCCCCCGTCACAAAAAAAAATCCAATGAATCTCAACCAACTTTTTTTTCAGTCATGATTCCTGAAATACATATTTTTTTTGGCCAAAGAAATCAGAACACAAGAACTCACCTATCCTTAACTGAAGAATTCAGTTCACATTTCTCCAGTAGGAAGCCGACGACATTGATATGACCCTCTGCCGCTGCCACATGAAGTGCTGTCCTTCCGTCATAGTCTTGCTGGTTAAGGTTTACACCTAACAGAGCATACCTGTGGATGGTAGGAGACAGTTAAATTAGACATGCAGATATATACAGGTAATCTTTTTACCTGTGTAATGGTATGTTGAAAAGATCAACAATTTACCTGTGAATCGTTCACATACAAGATAAAGATGCGGAAAACACAGCTCTAGGTCAAATCATATTGATTTTATTCTGATTTTTTTTATTTTGAAACATTTCTTAAATGGAAATTTTTGATATTTTATTTTGAATTTTTACATTAGCGGAAACCATATCTCCAGATCTGATCGCTTTGATTTTATTTCAAACATTTTTATTTGGAAATAATTTCTAAATAAAACAAGAGACCCAATGGGCCTGCATCGCTCACCTGGTCTAAATCTCACACTTGTAACCTTAAAAATGATCTAAAATAAAGCTACAGACAAAATACGAGTATTTATGACTATAAGTCATTCAAAAGAACCTGTTAAAAGATTTAAAAAACCTTTCACCCCTGTGACCTTAAAAGTCTAATATGGTCATTACGTTTAACACATTTTATAGCCCTTCATCTCAGGATGCAATTTGCAAAATATCACCACCCTATCCCTTTGTTTATTAAGATAAGATCATTTAAATGTTTACACATATTTGACCAAATGTGACCTTGAAAGTGGGTCAAGGTAATGCAAATTAAAAAGCTTGATAGTCCTTCATCCAAGCATGCTACTTGCTAAATATCAACATTGGGCACCTTTTGGTTATTCAGAAGAAGTTGTTTAAAAGTTTTAAACAAATTTGACTCCTGTGACCTTAAATATAAGTCAAGGTCATTCATTTCAAAAAACTTTGTAACCCTTCATCTTAGTCTGCTACTGACCAAATATTAACATCCATGGCATTTTAGTTATTCAGAAGAGGTCATTTAAAGATTTTAAGCATATTTGACCCCTGTGACCTTGAACATATTTGAAAGTCATTTGTTTGAACAAACTTGGTAGCCCTTCATCCCAACATGCTACTGAGAAAATATCAACATCCTATGCTTCTTGGTTATTGAGAAGAAGTTGTTTAAAGGTTTTAACCATATTTGACCCCTGTGACCTTGAAAATGGGCGAAGGTCATATGTTTGAGCAAACTTGGTATCCCTTTAACTAAGCATGCTATTGGCCAAATATCATTATCCTAGGCCTCTTGGGCATGCAGAAGTTGTTTATAGGTTTTAAACATATTTGACCCCTGTGACCTTGAAAATAGGTGAAGGTCATTTGTTTGAACAAACTTGGTAGCCCTTCATCCCAACATGCTACTGAGAAAATATCATCATCCTAGGCCTTTTTGTTATTGAGAAGAAGTTGTGTAAAGGATTTAACCATATTTGACTCCTTAGACCTTGAAAATGGGCGAAGGTCATCTGTTTGAACAAACTTGGTATCCCTTTATCTAAGCATGCTATTGGCCAAATATCATTATTCTATGCCTCTTGGGCATGCAGAAGAAGTTGTTTGAAGATTTTAAACATATTTGACCCCTGTGACCTTGAAAATAGGTGAAGGTCATTTGTTTGAACAAACTTGGTAGCCCTTTATCCAAGCATGATACTGGCCAAATTTAAACATCCTGGGCGTTTTGGTTATTCAGAAGAAGTTGTTTAAACTATATTTTAGACAATTGACTCCTGTGACCTTGAATATAAGTGAAGGTCATTCATTTGAACAAACTTGGTAGCCCTTCATCCCAGCATGCTACTGGCATAATATCATCAACCTAGGCCTTTTGGTTATTAAGAAGAAGTTAATTAAAGTAAAATATTGATGCCAGACGATGGCCGACGGATCTGTTCCCTAATCTGCCACGGCCTGTCCAATATTTCATCCCAGCCCCTGATCAGTCCCCTAAATTACCATGGCCTGTCCAATGTTTCATCCCAGCCCCTGATCAGTCCCCTAACCTGCCACGGCCTGTCCAATATTTCATACCAGCCCTTGATCAGTCCCCTAATCTGCCATTGCCTGTCCAATGTTTCATCCTAGCCCCTAATTAGTCCCCTAATCTGCCATGGCCTGTCCAATTTTTTACATATAACAAGCATTAAATATACCCAGATTTTAACAACACCAACTGTTACATGTGAAAAAAAGTAAATACAGCTTTATAACTGGAAGTCATGGATTAAGGTGAAGAAAATTTCTTATACCAGCTACTGCAAAAAAGACCTTATTTTTAAGTTTTGGGGTATAATATAATTTGAACAGATTCGTGCATTGATAAATTGGTGCATTATCAATATGTGTGACAGAAAACGATATATAGAAACTTTTCAAGAAGCGCATTCATAAATTAGCGCATTGTTTAAGGCATGAACATTTCTATATATAGAATACCCCTTAAATTTGTACGTTTTCAGTATTTATGGATGTTTCTACAACTGGATACCTGTCATATTTTCAAGACTTCATCGCATAACAAGTCTTCTTAACTTTTAGAGTAACTTTGACCTTTGACCTTACCTCCTCATTGCTGTGACATCCCCGTTGTAGGCTCCAAAGAGGAGCTTCACTATTTCAAATGCCTGGGAGTGAGTTTTTGTGGTGCGGGGGTCATTTTTTGTGGCCTTTTTCTGCCTTACAATGTCAAAGTTGTGGAAGCTAAAAGCTTCAATGAAGTTCTGTAAAAGAGAAGACTTTTGATAAAATGTAAGTATGGGTTTCCAAATGAAACTAGAGAAGCTGTGAGCGAGCTCTCAAAGATTATACTCCTACATCAACTACATCAATTATTTATTCTAAAGATGTATCTGTTTTTAAGATATGAAATAAAACACATTATCATATTAATTCAATGACTTAGCAACTTTATAAAAACTTATCACACATTGTATTACAACAATTAATGAAACAAGTTTTATCGGTTTATGTTTATTTCTCTTGTTGGCCTAGAAGCACGTAGATAGCATGTGGTGACCAGACTTAAAGGTGCCTGAAGAAAGCCTACATCATATCGGGCAGGTGACCCAGTACCTTACAACATCTGATTAGGGGGTTAGGACTCCAGCCTTCTTTGTGGTGGATGCACTACACAATGCACCACCTGACCACCCTTTAACAAATCAATAACAATTTGTACTCTATAACTAGAGTTTGACCTACTGACCTCACAAAACTGTGTTCCCCTGCAGCTGTTTCCCCACACATCAAGGGGAGGCGACCACATACAAATCCCCATGACATTCGGCACGACCATGAGGACACACCCAGACACACCTGACTTGGCGGGGAGGCCGACCTGAAACCAAAATACTTCTCAATAAAATAGGATCAGACTAAGCTTTTTTTTGTCATTGAAGTTAAGGTAAAGTTTACCACTGCATCAGTTATATCACAAAGAAGAGTTCCACCTTTTTTTTAATTGGAGTATTCTCCCTTCTTGTAGAAAACGATGGAACCAAACAGAGGTTTTCTGGTTTAGAGTTACTTCCCTTGTCAATGTTCATTGTTTTTCCATAGGCTTTGCAGCTCATAAATTGAACAGTCATTTTGATACGATGCGTTTATAATTTCTGAATGGCGACATTCAGGTGAAGTGTATACTAGGTTTTGTAAGGTAAACGTCCTGAGATCAACCCCTAAAGTTTCTCTGTTTTCACTTATATTTCTATTTTCAAACAATTATTCTGTAAAATGCATCAAAACGTATGATTTTCATGGAACACTTCTCTTGTGTAAGACTTACGCAAATATTTGACACCAGAGAGAGTGTCAATTATATACTTTAACATCTTAAAACAGGGGTAGATATGATTTTCCATTTTTTTCTGAACATTTTTAAGCTCCATTTATCAATCGTTGTTTCCTGCCTTTAAATGATCTTTTGGAAAGTAAACTACCTTGTGAAACAGATAAAGATATATACATAAAATGAAAGCACTAGAGTAATCTCTATTGGTGAAACTTGAAAAGTTTTACATGAATTGAAAGAAAGAGCTGCACTAGAGTAATCCATCTGATGAACCAGAAACTATAAGGATTTAAAACAATAGAGCTGCATTAGAGTGATCTCCCTTGGTGAAACATAAAATACACAACACATGAACAAGGATCCATATTATAGAGTGTACATCATAGAGCTATATTAGAGTGATCTCCCTTAGTGAAACATAAAATACACAACACATGAACAAGGATCCATATTATAGAGTGTACATCATAGAGCTATATTAGAGTGATCTCCCTTAGTGAAACATAAAATACACAACACATGAACAAGGATCCTTATTAGAGCAATCTCTTTCGGTGATACATTTGTATATCAAGTATACATGCACATCATAGAGCTATATATTAGAGTGATCTCCCTTAGTGAAACGAATAGCATGCATGTACAGCATAGAGCTAAATTATAATTATCTCCCTTGCTGAAACACAAAATAAACATACAGAGATATGTACAGTTATCTCCCTTGGTGAAAAACCAAGTAAACATGTACATAGAGTTACAATAGAGTAGCAAAGAAGGCTATTTTCCAGAATTTTATCTTTGCCGATGAATTAAATAGGTTATGTTTATATAAATATAAACAAATTAGTATCAATTATAAGAAATAGATAAACAGACCTTAAAGGCAAACTGGCCGGAGTAGTCGTACATGCCACAGGAAAACATGAGGGAGAGAGTGTCACGGACGGACTGTGAGGTAAGCAGGCGCTCCCCCGTGGTAGGACACACCCCTCCATTGGCTAACGTGGCTGCAAGTACTGCCCCGGAGTCACAGTTGATTTCAACAGAGCAGAGCTTTGTAATATAAATATTTACATAATTATGTAACGGTACATGTGTTATACATCTATGAGCAAACCTGAGCAAAACAAACACAGAAAAATTTTGCTCTAGCTTCAACAAATTATATCTGAACGATCTTTTCACTAGAACTAAATATGAAAAGACATTTCACTTCAATCAAACTACTGTATGAAGATATTTTTTTTGCCACAGTTCAATTTTTTCGCCTTCCATTATATTTACAGCGAATAAAAGTAAAGAACATAGCATACGAAAATCAACACTGGGCGAAGGGCGGAAGTATGATAGGCGAAAATATTTCCCAGTATACAGTATTATCTGTAAACAAATCAATACTGGGCTACCAGTGAAACAGCAACTTCTTTCCTGCCCGCTGAAAGCTCAAGTTTCCCCGGGGAAAACATTAACTAGGGGGGAGGGGGAAGCCTAGCCTATTTCTTCCGCAGGGAAAGAAACATCTAGCAGTCAGGGAAAGAAATGACTTCTCATTACAGACTGGTTATGAATTTAGAATAAAACTCTAGAATATAACTTTAACAAAAAATATTTTCCGCAATGTTACATGGTAAAGTACAATCTTGAGCAATAATAATCTTGTACCAGTTGCATTTTCTGTAATGAATGATATAATTGAAGAAAACAGAGGATACTTACTTGAAAATAAAAGTTCAATACGTCTTTCAGGTTGGTACCCTCTGGGAAACACTAGAATAATGGAGAAAAGCCATGAAGATTAAATTATCTCTAGGTCCTAGCTAGTAGGGTATGTTAGTGATTTTATTGGTAAAGTTTTACAATAACAGCTTAAGTCATTTAAGGCTGTGCCTCCATGTGTGTTATGCATGCATGTAAGAGTGTAATAAGTGCTGGAGGCATGATGCAGACTTTAGAGAGCTACCTCACTGAAATACTGTAACAGAGTGCATGATTAATTAAATTTAAATCACAGCCTCCGCATGGGATCGAACCCGAGACCTCTAGCTTACTAGTCTTATGCTCAACCGATCGAGCTAAAGAGAAGTTCTCTCTAGCCAATCGATATATTGCGGCTAGTATTTACATAATGTACCAGGGTGACAACACCATGCCGAAGGCACCCAGCCAAGTATTCCATCTGGCCACATTATATATATATATATAAAGAAAAAAGCTCAGCAACGAGTCATTAATACATGTACTATCATCTCTTCAAGGAGATTCTTCAGACTGAAAAAGTGAATTGCTAAGCAAAGCGTCAAGAAACAAAAAAGGTTGTTTGGAATTATAAAAAAGAAAATATAAAGTCCCAATTGTTTCAGTGAGTGCATCTTCTGGTTGTTTTAGTTTTCAAAGTGGATCGCAAAAAAGCGACTCCCCAATTCTGCAGAACGTTCTATATTAGTTGCCTCTTACAATATACCGTGGGTAACAACAGTTTTTTGTTGTTGAAAATTCCCAAACTTTTGTTTCTCAAAGTAGTTTGCACAAAAGCAAATCCCGAATTCTGCAGGGGTTTCAACAATATACATTGGGTAACAGCAGGTGTACTCTTTTGTCAATTCCCGACCGGCTGGACTCACAGAGCAGCTAGGGTAGGTGGGGTGAAAAGCTAGGGTAATACTGATTTTATCATAGAACCCATTTACCTTTTTCTCTCTCATGTAGTAGCCGAGGGCGAAGTTTCTATCAGCAGTCTCCTTCTCAGACAGATAACTGAAACAAAACATCATAACTTGATGAAACTCAACACAAACAATTTATAATTTACTGAAACAAACTGTTTGACTTTTATCTCTTTTTTTATTAATTTTGTGTCCGATAATATTAATAATATTCATTATGAATGCTTAATTGAAAGATGAAGCTCTCCATTTCATTTTCAATTCCGTAAAGCTGTATCCTTCATACATTTGGTCAATAAATGGTATAACAAGGAAAGTATGGTGCAGGCAAGTAAATTGGTATAATGAGCCAAGGGCCATAACTCTCTGTATATTAATGTGCACCAGATGCGATTAGTGTATATATAATGTTTGATGATCATAGGTGAAAAAGAAAGGAAGTTTTACTGCAGATAATTAAAAAAAACAACAAAGGATTTAACAAAAAATCATTATTATGTATCTGTATTATGTTTTTACTTCGTACACAAGCAATGTACGTATTAAACATGTCGCAATGTTTCAAGAGCAACTGGTCTCTTTTGTCAAGCCACTGTATGATTGAGTGAGTGATTTGTACTGTTAACCTGTACAATAATGTGACGAAATGGTATATTTTCTACGTCATTTGACCAGGGATATTCTCCTATCAATGGAGAGTGTTTACACACTCTGTCGAATAAGTTACTAGTAGGGTGTAGATTAGCCGCCTCTCGCTTTAGAGCAGAATCAGGTCATACAGATGATACAGCTGGTGTCAAGAAAAATGAAAAAAAGAAAAAAAAGGGGGGGGGGGGGGGGGGGGGGACACCAGCTGAATCATCTGTATGACCAGATTCTTACCTAGAGTGAGGCTCAGGACCCCAATTAAATATCAAAACACTCTGCCTTTCCAAGAAACCTAAGTGTATCACGTCTAGTGAAAGTAGGTGAAATTACAAAAATAAAGGACTAGACAGAATATTATTGATGCATATAAAGCAAGACATTCAACTACACCATTGAACTTCATGTCATAGGTGGATGTGTAAAAATAAAAATATTAATTAATTCTTTGAGAAGGCATAGACAAACTTACACTCCATTGTTGAAGGACATCAATTCTCCACCTGCCAATTTCTTAAACATACTAAGGGTCTGTAAATCAAAGGGTAAATTACAACACAAATTAATTATTAAGAAATAAAAGATAAAATATACATGATGTTAACTCAAGTTTCCATTTTTAATTAGGTCGATGAAATGAGTGTAAGATATTATGATTTTAGGAAGTTTGGCGAGTTCAAGTAAAAATTGTGACATTTAGTTTCATAAATTTCATACGAAATGGAAACGGGTGTGAGAATTTTTTGATTTCAGGAAGTTTTGTGAGTATAATTGAAAATTATGACATTTCCTTTCATAAATTTCATATGAAATGGAAATGGATGCAAGATTCTGTTAACCACATACATTGGGTTTGTTGATTCAGTCCTGAAAACAAAATTTTCTCAGACCAATTTGAGATTAATAACTCACTTTTCTCTTGTGAATAATGTGAAATTAGAAAGCTGTGATGTCAGGAAGCTCTCCTAGTTGTGACAATGGAAAGCTACAGACAGACAACAGGCATTGTCAAATATGACGCAGTTCATTTAACTCATTCACCCCTGAAATTTTATAATGAACCATTCCAACCTTTGAATTAGAGGAGTTCAAATGTGGCTTCAGGGGTGAATGAGTTAATAAATATCTCAAGACCAACTCTATTCATCACTCCATGAAAATGATAACAACAAGATTCAATCCTTGAACAAATACCAGGTAGACATTTCTATTTGATATTTGTATGAAAAGTCAATATTAGCAAAATGTACAAGTACATGCCAGTAAAAACACATTTTGATATGATCTGAAGTTTTAACATTATTTTATTATCTCATGGCCTGATTTAGCAAGACTATAAGTCTTCTATATATAGGGAGAGGCATAGTGAAACATCGGCCGAAGATACAGTGTGTATAATTACATGGTCAAACTTGTCAGCTGAGTTCATTTCTTGTTTGACTAGCGAACAGGTAACAATTGCACCAGAGTTGATCATAGGATTATGAGGCTTGTCTGAAAATAAAAATGTATAAGAAATAAACATAACCTGTTCAAGATTCAAGATTCAAGAAATTATATTTACCGTCGCATATTACAAACAAAATAACATTAGCACTGTAGTGCTATTCTTGCAACTGTTATTTCAATGACAGAAATTACATCATGTAATATAAGGTAACTGTTTCAAGGAAATTAACAACAAGAAATCTCTGTGACTGCAATGATGTCAACAGGAAATAAAGTAGATATAACAAATATATCAAGAGCGAGGGTGCTAACATAAAATTTTGATCATCAAAAGCTCATATATGAAAGGAAAATGTGCAAAATCAAAAAGTCTATTTTTTTTTTTACAAAAACCCCAAAAATAACGCGTAAGAATTCAAAGTTGTCTAAAGTAACTTACCTGTAACCTGAACAAAGTTCTTTGTGTATCAGAGACAAACTTACCATTACGGTCCAAACAGATCATGTTAAAAGGATGACCACTTGGCTCATGGCCAACATATTGATGAACGATCTCTGGTCCGAGTTCGTTAAGAACCATGGAATATGTCAGAGGTTTACTGACCGACTGCAGGCAAAACGGCACATTGATATCGCCGATGGAATGGCTACCAAAAATAAAATAAAAAGTTAAGGCTAAGGGTACCACTGATCAGATTTAAAAACGAATAAGATTTCCACTGAGTGTTGTTTTGACATTGAGTAATTATAATCTCCCCTTCTATACAGAAGATGAAACAATCTAAAGGATATTTTTCTGGTTTAGAGTAACTCTTCCTGTTAAGTTCTTCATATTACGCTTGATGGGGAATTAGGGCCTTATATTAGAATAAATAAATAAATATACAACATTTGATATAATGCCCTTTCTAGCTAACATAAGCCACTCAAAATTGGACATTCATTTTGAAGCAGTGTTTGTATGTTTCCTGTACGACAAAATTGGTGAAATGTATGCGTTGTAATGTAAATGTTCAGACTTATGATCCTTGCCATTTTCTTGTTTCTTTTTTTTTAATTCTGTTTTCAAACATCTAAATTTTAAACAACCTGAGTTTGAACTTCAAATATGATTTTTTAAAATATTTTTCATGCTTCATTAATTGCTGTTTAAAATGTATTTATACATCAATGCTTGTTACTTTTGAAAGAAGAAAACATCTTTAGCAGTTGATAATTACAGTTAATACATTTTGCAATGATCTCTCAAAAGTCATTTGATTCATCTTAAAACGCTTTTAAACAATTGCTACATATTATATTTATAAGCAGCTATACATTTTTAGAGTATGGAAGTGAAAAATATGTAGCATTACTAATATTTCTTTTAACAATGTCAATTTGAAGTTTGCAATTTAGGGAAGAGAGAATTATCTCCCTTTGAACAAAACAAATGATTTATGACATATCAATCTCTGCATTACTGTATGTATAAAAAATCGAGAGTACCTAATGATAGGATACCCTTGTTGCCGGGCTATTCAAATAAATTCTGAAGAAGGATGTATACATATTTGAAACATAAAAATTTCATCAGAGGTTTTTTTTCTGAGATATTTAATAAAATAATGTAAGTCTGGATACTTACCGCTGTCCATCTACAGTACACACAGAAACACCCCAATAGTCAGGACTATACCGGGCAAGCTGAGGGATGTAGTTCGCAACCTGTACAAAGGAAGTAAAAATACAAAATAAATGTACTTCCATATAATTATCGTAACTATTATTACATGTAGAGCTGTGAAGCTAGAACCATCAATATTTCTGAAGGCAGTAGATCGATTCAAATACTGTCTTTACCTTATCTTTATCCACCAAACAAAACAAATATGTTTAACTTGACCTCATATGCTCATTAACCCATTCACCCCTGAAATTTCATAATGAACTATTCCAACCTTTGAATGAAGAGTTCAAATGTGTCTTCAGGGATGAATGAGTTTATATAAGCCCATGCCTGATAACAATTAAGCCCACCCACTCAGATAATTGCATGGGCCTCAAATTTATTTTTTACATCAATAAAACACATCACCAACTTTTGACCCAATTTTTCATAGAATCCCCTAGGCTTACTGAAGGAATATTAAGATAAAATGAAACATTATGAAATTACCTTGATATTAGTTCTCTATTAAGTTGGTATAATTCAAGGGGTTTTTCGTTTCACTACAGTATACACATGCAGTCATTAGAGACTTGGCTAAATCAAATACCAAGCAAATATAATCTATAACCAAAAGAACTTAGTGTAATCTTTGTGAATATTTGCTTAAAAACAAACATTTAATAAAATGTGTTTATCTGATTTCTGCCAAACAAGAGGCACAAAGGGTCTGTAGCGCTCACCTGGATATTTGAGCAATCGAGGAATAATAAAATCTCTCGCCCCCTTGGGGGTGAGATAGGGGAATCTCAACCCGAGGGGGAAGTTCTTAATTTGCCAAACATGAGGCTGTGCCGAGTGTTTGACAACTTAAGAATCATTTCCCGAGGGTTGAGATTCCTCTATATATATTTATCTATTGCCATTATAACAACATAATATATTAGATAATCTATTTCCGTGTTATAAGGAAGAAGAGTCTTATAAGATGTTATTACTTGTGTCCAGTTCATGTCTATTATATCCAATAAGATATGTAAAAAATAAACGACCGTCTGTCAAGGATACCTCCCATAAGTCTATAGATACAGGTTTGTTTTATCTTTTTATAGCCAAAACATCCAACACAGGGCAATTGACTATTGTTTGTACAAATGTATGAACGTCATGAGTTCTGAAGTATACGTACATCCATTTGTTAACTGACTCAATCCAATGGAGTTTAAACATAAACCATGATCAGATCATAATGCGTTGGACGTCCTTGAGAATCCTATACATGTACATGTATGCAGAGAGTATATATGTACTGTTTTATTTCATGTCAAGTAGTACTTAGTCGGTACACGAATCACAAGGAAAGAGACTTGCGTCAGACATAATAAAAGCAGTATTTTGTCTTTATCGTCATTAAAATACAATTCTTTCAAAATGGTTTTACACATTAATTCGTTTTTTTCCACCTCAACATTTTCATTTTCATTAAAAATTCCAAAAAGCATGTATTAAGGTAATTTTCGATTTTTTTTCGTAATTGAAATATTTGATTATACCTCTGATAAACATCGTGGAGATTCGATTTCCAATGTGTTACTATTGTGCACTTCTTATTATGTAAAATGTAGACTATCATACTGCCACCCCCTCCCCAACAATCTCTCTCCCCTTCCCTCCCAATCTCTTTCTCTCTCTCTCTTTTAAAAGGCACCCTATGTGTCCATGTTCAATGCAGATCCACATTTGTGATATTTATTGGACTTATTTTTCACATTGAAAGCTGTGTATGTATATAACCTGATTTGTCTGTTTTCCATACGTTGATCATGATGAAGTCAACTTGCTCCTTTTTTGACAGATCAAATTTACCCTCACAGTAACAAGGCAGAGGGTAAATTTGATCACTTTTTGTGTCTTTTATTGATGAAATTTATTTTTGCACCCAAGAAATATCTTCAATTTTTTGTAATAAATATGTTATTCTTATAAAAAATAAATAAAGATTAAATAAATATGCAATTTTTCTTTTTGGTAAATGGATCATTATCCTTCACTATGCCGTCTGTATTGGTTTGATAGTTGCTTCTCTTGGTGGTAGTGTCACATCAATGCAAAGAATCAACCAATCAAATTCCGTTTTTAACTTCGCACATCACAAAGCAACCAAGATATTTTTAGAAAGTGGAATTCTATATCGTTTATTCACATATCTTGGTGTTTTAATGTCATGAGTGTGTGAGTGGCATAGGCGTGCAAGATTAAAGTGATCAAATTTACTCGCATGATCAAAGTTACCCGACCTTCCCCTATTTGTACATTTATACCCACGCAATTGATCTGTGGTAGTGACATCGCGATCGGTAGCATATTGGATCAGTAATGTAATGGTCACGAGTTCGCCCCATCTGTTGAAACTACCAGCCAAATATTATTATAAGATTCTATGCTTTTTGGTTCTTCTTCAGAAGTTAATTGACATATTTTTCCCTGTGACCTTGTAAGTAGGTCAATGTCATTTTCCTTCTCATACTTTGTTAGCTCTATCCCAAAAAGCTACCAGCCAAATCTTATGAATCCATTCCTTTTGGTTCTTAAGAACAAATCCTTTAAAATGCTGTTGATCTCTATATCCTTTAAGGTAGGTTGAGGTCATTTTCATTCGCAAACTTTGGTGAGCTCTATCCCAGGAAGCCACCAGCCAAATATTATAATTTTATGCTTTCGATTATTCAGAAGAAGTCGTTTGATGTTTTTGACATATTTGACACCTGTGATCTTGAAAGGTGGTCAAGGTCATTTTCATTCTCAAACTTTGACGGGATCTATCTCAGGAAGCCAACAGCCAAATATAAAGATTCTATACCTTTTAGTTCTTCAGAAGAAGTCGTTTAAAGATTTTTTACATATTTGACCCCTGTGACCTTGAAAGTAAGTCAAGGTCATTTTCATTCTCAAACTTTGTCAGGATCTATCTCAGGAAGCCAACAGCGAAATATAAAGATTCTATACCTTTTAGTTCTTCAGAAGAAGTCGTATAAAGAGTTTTTACATATTTGACCGCTGTGACCTTGATAGTAAGTCAAGGTCAATTTCATTCTCAAACTTTATCGAGCTCCATCCAAGGAAGCCAACAGCGACATATGAAGATTCTATACCTTTTAATTCTTCAGAAAAAGTCGATTGAAATATTTGACCGCTGTGACCTTGAAAATACGTCAAGGTCATTTTCAAAATATGTTGGGCTCCATCCCAGGAAGCCATCAGCCAAATATAAAGATTTTATACCTTTTAGTTTTTCAGAAGAAGTTGTTTGAAGTGTTCAACATATTTGACCGCTGTGACCTTGAAAGAACGTCAAGGTCATTTTCATTTTCAAACTTTGTTGGGCTCCATCCCAGGAAGCAATCAGCCAAATATAAAGATATATTCTATACCTTTTAGTTCATCAGACGAAATCGTTTGAAGGGTTTGACATATTTGACCGCTGTGACCTTGAAAGTAGGTCAAGGTAATTTTCATTATCAAACTTTGTCCGGCTCTATCTCATGAAGCCAACAGCCAAATATGAAGGTTCTATACCTTTTCGTTCTTCAGAAGAAGTCGTTTAAAGTGTTTGACTTAATTGACAGCTGTGACCTTGAAAGAACGTCAAGGTCATTTTCATTCTCAAACTTTGTCCGGCTCCATCCCAGGAAGCTACCAGCCAAATATGAAGATTCTATACCATTTAGTTCTTCAGAAGAAGTCGTTTGAAGTTTTTGACATATTTGACCCCTGTGACCTTGAAAGTAGGTCAAGGTCATTTTTATTCTCAAACTTTGTCAGGCTCCTACCAACGAAGCTATCATCCAAATATCATGACTCCAGGCCTGTCCATTCTTCAGAAGAAGTCGTTAAAAGGAAAAGTTGACGGACGACGGACGCCGTACCATGACATAAGCTCACTTGCCCTTCAGGCAGGTGAACTAAAAACAATGCTGAAACAATACAACACTTTCACATAATATTTGAATACAAGCCATTCGGATTGATATGTCTCGCCTAATATATGCCCCGCTTTGACCATCAATGCTCATATCAGAGAAACTAACTTAAACGCAAAAACTTAATGTTGATTGAGATGCTGACAAAGTCAATGGACCATGAAAGGTAGGCCGCATCCAGCATTTGATGCATGGGCTGAGATATACTACCTAAGATGCATCTATGGTGCAAGTTTGGTTGGTCTAGCATTTATACTTTCAGAAAAACTAAGTTAAACGCAAAAACTTAATGTTGATTGAGATGCTGACAAAGTCAATGGACCATGAAAGGTAGGCCGCATCCAGCATTTGATGCATGGGCTGGGATATACTAACTAAGATGCGTGTATGGTGCAGGTTTGGTTGGTCTAGCACTTTTAGAGAAGCTAACTTAAACACAAAAACTTAATGTTGATGCCGTCGCCGGAAAAGCAACACATAAGTCTCGCTTCGACTATGTGGCGGGGAAACAAAAATCATGGTTATTTTATTAATTTAAACTTAGGTAATAAACAATCAACACAGAGGTATGTATACCTATATTACAGTAAAGGTTTGTCTTGTAACCTAATTCATATATAACTGTCAGACACTATACATCTGAGGTAGACTGTAGGTATGTATACATTAAAAACACCACGGTCTTGTAAACACGACCTACATTTGATCACCTTTTAACTGCACAATTGGTCTACCCTATTATTTTCTATGTAATATAAGCCTGTCGGCAACCTCGCTCAACAAGGAAGTGATATTTTCTGTATATAGTTATCGGCTGAACAGGTAGATCTACCAAGATGGCCGAGGAGGGTATTAAGTTTGGACTTATATAATTATGACGAACAGAAATTAACCAGAAATGTTTCTTTTTAGCAAAACTGAATTTTGAGCCAGAAAACATATGATTTATATGAACACAGTTAGATAATGGAGGTTTACCTGGACAAGGACCTACATTGACCTATTACACAAGCGATCCCTCTATTGTCACTGTGTTGTATATTGATAACCAGACATCAAACAGGGAAGTAATATTTTTT